AATGAAGGGCCCCCCTGAAGATCTTACAAATGGGGCAGAATCAAATGGAAAAAAGTATTCTTTCAGGTAGGCTGGTCCCAAACTGTACAGGGCTTTACAAGCATTTTGGCCAGTGAAGCTGTTACAACAAGTTCCCTGTGATAGAGCCAGTCAACCATTTGGCTGTGCCAATCTGGGCCAGCTGAAGTTTCCAAGCACTTTTCAAAGACAGCCTCACATGGAGTAGTCAGACATGCGACTGAGGCATGCACACACATTACCAGGTCAGACATTTCCAGGCGTGTGCACAGGTGGCATATTGACCTCAGCTGCACAAGAGCCAGTGTGGCGTAGTGGTTAAGAGCATGGGACTGGGACTCAGATGACCTGGGTTCTAGTCCCCGCTCGGCCATGGAGCCAACTGGGTGACTTTGGGCCAGGCACAGACTCTCAGCCCAACCCACCTCACAGGGCTGTTGTTGTGGGGATAAGATGGAGGAGGAGAATGATGTGAGCTGCCTTGAGCCCTTTGTAGGAAAAAGGCAGGATATAAAGCGAAAAATAAAATGAACAAACAAATAAATAAAAAGAACATATTGGCCACCACCGAAACCTGGTCACCCGTGTTCATATTGTGCATTTGGTGCAATGGAACCCCCTGCAGTAGGGGCGGTGGGGACTGCAGTATTTCCAGCATTGCTGCATTAAATGGGTAAAGGTAAACTTAGCTGGATCTGGATTGTTTACTGTCTTCTGTCTGACTATCAGTACTAATCTTATCAGCATCTTTCCTACTCAAGAGATGTGGCAGTGACACTTGACTGCTGAGTTCAGACAATCTCCATATTGCAAATTCTTTTATTCTGGGAAGGTTACTCAAGGAAGAAGGAGACAAGGAACTCTAATTCTTGTTTTGCAATTGATCGTAGGCAAGTTAAAAGAGAAATAAAAAGGGAGCACAGAATTCTTAAAGCCTTCAGTGTAGTATCTTTTCTTCATTCTTCTTTGGTCCTTCAACATTACTATAAAAAGCTGATTGTGAGGAAAACAGATGAGTGCCCTTTGAGACAACAATCTGTGTGGGCTCTGTGCCTCTGACATAATGATGGAACTAAAATTTAGTGCCATTTCATCTTCAAGGTGCCTTGGAGATCCACTGCCTTGATACTATTATCCCTATGTCTAGGAAAGGCATTTCAGCTCCATCTTTTATGATGCAGCAGATATACTGTCTGCATTGCCTTTGGCTGATTTAGTTCTGCCAGGCTGGGCTTCAGTTATCTGTGAATGATAGCACTTTATTAAGGAAATTAAAAAGGGGAAAACCCCTGGGATTAATGGAATTGCCTCCTGATCTTGGATCAGTTGTGCTGGCTGGCAGGTCCCAGCTCCATTCTGCTCTAACTGGCAGTTTTCCAGCTGATCAATCAATAGTCATTGTGGTTCCTATATATAAGCAGCATTTAAAATATGATCCCAAGAAGGATCATTTGTCCATGAGGACTGTAAAAGAAAAGCAAGGCACATTTTGAGTGAGTTAGGTGGACTCAGAAAATATTTTGAAGGAGGAGCAAGTAGCTTTCTGTCATGGTAGATCAAAAGTTGACCACTGCTTCCTTCTGAAGAACCCGGGCAGGAAATGCACATGCCCACCATGGGCTGCTCTTGACTTCATATCCTGTGTCCTCCTTTGGAACAAACTGGCTCTCTTGAATATGGACTGTAGTTTGTTCAGGAGAATTCAGGGGTTGTCTGCTTTTTTTCTGGTCAGCTGCCGCAGAGGGGAGCCTGCCAGGAGCAATTACACTGAATAAAGGAGCAGGGCTGTGTTTAATACTCACCATTTCCTCTCTTTCCAGTATATTTTTCCTCTCTGATTCAGGGGTGAGAGCATTTCTCTTCTATTATAGGTTTCTGTTGTATATCCAGTTGGGGATGAAGATGTAGGTTGGAGCACCGTGGGAATTCCGGGACTTTCCCCCATCCAAATATGCATAGGATTGCACTCTTAAGCTCAGAGAACTTGCGGAAGTGAACTATTCAGAAACTACAATATTTACTTAGTTATTTATTTATTACATTTTTATACTGCCCAATACCCAAAACTTTGGTGTTCAGGAAGAGATTGAAGAAATAGCAGTGTTAAACTGGGTAAAATTACCTGTGTTTATCCAATTTGCTAAATGATTTTCTTTTTAGGAATTTTTTAACACTTAGCATGAATACTGTGGGCCTTTTTATACTCCTTTCATAGATGCTTTATTTTGTTGTGTTTAAATTGGTTTTAATGTGTTTTATTGTATTGTAAGACCTTGTATTGTATTGTAAGCCACCTAGGAAGGCCTCGGCAGTTATAGGTGGCCCATAAATACATGTATAAACAAATAAACAAACAAACAAACTCAATTCAAGTGATGCTTAAAAATTCTGGATGCTGGTTTGCTCATTTGTAAGCTACTGCAATTATGTTAGCAAGTATAATTGCTAATTTCTCAGCTGGATCAGATGAGAAGTTAGTGACACCCCTGGGTTGACATATATCAAATCAAACTACTGCCCCAACATTCCACGGGGCTTCTGTGTGGATTCACCAAATATCACAGCCAGGAGAGCAGAGTTGTACGCATTTCTGTCTAGATCTACCCCAAGGCAATTTTCCAAAGGGAGGCGTTCTGTTTTTTCAGCAGAAACTTTAGCTCAGAAGACACACATTTGTTTCTTGTGCAGGATTTCCCCTCACTAGCATTGGACAATTTGGGTGCAGAATTATGAGCCACAAAAATGTGGGAATTTATTGCTAAACTGGACTTTTCTGTGGGCTATTTGTTCACAAGGGTGACAGTGAAGTCCCTCTGGACCCTCAGCACATTTGATGGATGTGGCCTTTTGGATGACTACTGCACTAATTGTAATGATAGCGAAGTCATCCTGGATGTAGCCTGAGTGGATTGTGCTTCTTGGGAAGAATCAGATGATGACTGAGGGCAACACCTGCTGCTTCTGGCCTGAGGATGGAAAGGCCACAGTTTGGGAGAGTTCAGTGGAAACATTCTGCTTATATAACACTTAGCTGTCTTTGGAAGACAGGGTGTTTGTGAATCAGAGGGGTGAAGTGCACCTGCTTTGACCCACTTGTGACCAAGAGCGGTTCCAGCATTCCTAAGAAACATCTTTTAGCCCTTCCTGAGAAGCTTCCCCCATAAGTCCAGCTTTTAGATGGATCTTAATGCAATTTGCATCCCCAGCAATTCATGGAGGTTAAGGGATGCTGTAGTGGGTGGCCCGCACTGGATGGACAGACATTTTCCAATTGCATGCCAAAGGCAGAGGATGTGGTTAGGTTTCCTTTAGAGTGCCTACTGTAATTCCACTGGAGGACTCCATGCTTGGTTCCTCTTATGGCTGATATCTCTATCTAACTCCTCTTTGAGCAAAATGTTATTACTATTGGCTGGATTACTTTGCGGCATGCCACACTGGGAAACCCAGCTCTAGGCCAGAGGAAATGTTTTATTCACACAGATACCCTATATAATTTTGTCATGCAGACCATTGGCTGATGGTTTGTAAATGTTTTATTACCTTCTTAATATTATGCTTAGTTCCATTCCCTTGTCTGTTGATCCCCTGTACATTTCTTGTTTTGTGTTTTTAGTATATGTATATGCAAAAGTCTAACTGGCTGTCAAACAATTAATTAAACTTCGTCTTGTTATTGTGGGCATGTTAAGTAAGAACTCATTCATTGGCTCATTCAGGTGTAGTAGGATGAGAGTCATAATAAATAGCAGTGCTCCCTTTTCCTTCCTTCCTTCCTTCCTTCCTTCCTTCCTTCCTTCCTTCCTTCCTTTTAATCTTCCCTGAGTGCTGAAGTAAATGATAGAAGCATCAATGCCCAAGAGTATATACTTCTTCCATTTCAGTATTGCTTTAAAACAAACAAACAGCTGTTTGTCCACATTGTAACAGGAGGGCAAATGAAATGAAGGCTCGTGCGATAGGTAACAAGCCTTTCTCCATCGTATCTTGTTCCACAAGTTCATCCACCAGGCCCAGAGTTTCCGGTGTGGTGCTTAAGCACACCAACAGGTCTGTGGAGTCAGTGCCTGCCAATCTCGCTGGTCCCAGATTTTTATTTTATTCGATAAGATTTTAATGGGAAAAAACCTGGAAGGCTCACACGCTGCAAAACAAAGTGCTGCCCCCCAGAATCATATTTATTTTGTGGAAAGGGTGGAATTCTCTTGCCTTCCCCAACTTGATGCCATCCAGATGTTTTAGACTACAACTCCCATGAATGCTAACTATTGGCAGTCCAAGCTGGGGCAGATAGGAGTTGAAGTCCAAAACATCTGGAGGGCATCAGATCAGAAAGTGGTTTGAATTTGGATAGAAACAGAGGGAAAGCTTTTTAGAATCTTTGCAAACCTATTTTTGTAGCAGTGATGATTCTTATGTTTATGTGCTGCTCATCATAGTTCTTTACACTACTTCTGTCAAAATAGATTAGAGAGAGATTGAATCTGGCAGGAAGCAAAGCACTTTCTTAGCATCAGCAAGTGACATTTAACAATGCATTTAATCCCTTTACCACAAGCATTGAGTTTTATGTTAAACAATGTGATAAGCAGGTCTTTGGGCTAAACTGGGATGGAGATGGAACTATTTTTGCACAGATAAGAGATGAGTCAATTGTTCAGTCACATGCCCTATAAGAAGCCATCCAGGCCAGCCACCTTCTCTAGCAGTTCAGGAGTTGGGTGAAAATGGTTGCCTTCCTCACCACAGCCGTCCTATCCTGGACACTCGCTCTTGGCTTGCCTTTCCCACTTGCCAAGCAGGCACCCTTAGAGCCTGGGGTTCGTTCAGCTCATGACCTCCACTTTGCAGAGGTATCTGTTCTCACCGGCGTGCCCTGTATAGCTTATGGCTTTTCTACTTCTTCTTCTGTTATTGTCTTTCCTGTTTGTTTGCAGAGCTACCTAAATGCTTTCTACAGTCCAGGAACCTTTTGGAAAAGAAGCTCGGACTCTCTGTTGGATAAACTGAAGCATATGCAGTCATTCTTTGGTCTGGAACCAAATGGAGAGCTGAATGTAGAGACATTTAAATTGATGAAGCAGCCTAGGTGTGGGGTCCCTGATGTGGCAGGATACCAGTTCTTCCCCCAGAAAAATAGATGGCAGGTGTCAAACTTAACATTCAGGTAAACTGAATCAATTCTTTATTTTTTCCTTTCTTTGTATTTGCATGTAGAGGTTGGTGTTAGGCCTGGGATCTATCAGGGTACTTTTTGCTTGCTGATTTTCTTAGAATATGAGAGTTGCAGCAAGACCAGATATGTTGACTGCTGTTCCTGAGGGCTGGCCTATATGAATTGATACAGTATAACCCATTGCTGCAATAATATATTTGATGTGGCATATGGTAATTAAAACAACTATTTTATTGGGAGCATTCTCCCTTGAGTAGCTACAACCATGAGTCAGTCTGATCCAGGCTGCAACTCACAGCTGTGTACTCTTTTGTGAGAACTATTGTCACAGTGGTCCTTATGTTTTGTGGTTGTAACCTGGAGAAAATCATATACACACAGTACCTCTAATGGTTGTGAGACAATAATGCCGATGCCCTCCAGATATATTGATTGCAATGCCCATAATCCCTTGCCAACTAGCCAACTAGCTTAGGGAAGGCTGATGCCTTCCCATACATGCAAATAGGGCTGTCCCATTGTCCGGAAATGAATGCAATAGGTCTTCACAGAGAGAAGCAATGGCGATGGGGGCAGGGGGGGTATGGAAGAGAATTAGCCAAGTTAGCAATTAATGTGGTTGTAATGCTGCTTGATCTGCTGTTATAATGTTGCACGGCTAGGCAACTAGGAGTGCCACATAGGCTCACACACTTCTTCCTCTTCCCCTTCCTCTTTCACAAGCGGATTTCTCTCTGTCATCCCTCTTTAGAGTTAACAATAGGCATTATTATACATGCACTGGTTTTAGCACCAACCATAGTTATCTGCAAAGCAGAGTTTGCAACTTTGGTTAGACTTGGGTCTGCAAACTGCATTGAACTAGGCATGGGTACTGTTAGAACTGATGGCATGAAATGCTAATCTAGGGTGGCTATTAATGTTTGTTTTTAATAGGTGACATCCCCTTTTTTGAAGGGCTTGCAGAGGAGCAGTCCTCTATTTGAAAATGATCTGTGTCTGAAGAATTGGCTACTCCTTGTCTGGCATTTTCTTGTAATGATTTAAAAAATCACAAGAAAAGAGAGCAGATACTGATTCAATAACATTTGAGCTCCAGATATTAAACCAATCGAAACAGTGGTTTAATAGGATGATTAAAAAATTATATAGGAAGGTAATTGACTCAATAAGAGGTATAGGGTGTTACTAAGCTACTAAAACTGGATAAATAATAAATGGGGTAACTATTTGGAATAATTTGCAGCAGGATTACTTTTGCTAAAAGTAGATTTTAAAAAATCAATTCTCACATTCTGCAATATTATGATTTTATCTTTAAAACAAAAGGAGGATAAAGCAACTGATTCAGTTTTATCCTTGAAGATTTTTTATTTATTTTATTTTTATATTGCGATTTATATCCTGCCTTTTTCTTACAAAGGGCTCAAGGCAGCTTACATCATTCTCCTCCTCCTCCATCTTATCCCCACAACAACAACCCTGTGAGGTGGGTTGGGCTGAGAGTGTGTGACTGGCCCAAGGTCACCCAGTTGGCTCCATGGCTGAGCGGGGACTAGAACCCAGATCCTCTGAGTCCCAGTCCCATGCTCTTAACCACTACACCACACTGGCTCTTTATCAAGATCAAAATTATGTCTTCAGGATATATATCCTTGTAAATTGTAAACAAAGAGAAAGCAAGCTACGCATGGTATATCTCAGGCATGTGAACTTTAGACAGTCATATTTTATCTACGGTCAAAATGTGATAAACTCTCTAAGAAAAATATAGCTGAAGAAAAAAACAATGCGCAGAATAGATTTCTTGTTCCCTTGCAAGATTCTAGCACAACATAAATAGGCAAAGGTTTTAGAGCTAACCATCTATTGTTTGAACAGAGTCGTGAACTATACTCTAGATCTGGGCTGGGAAGAAGTGGATGAAGCCATCCAGAAAGCGCTCCAGTTATGGAACGATGTCATTCCTCTTCATTTCACCAAAATCTCCAATGGCACAGCTGACATTATGCTCTCGTTTGTGACCAAAGGTAACTTGAGGCAAGATGGGCTCTTGACAAATTTCTGTTCTCTATTTCTATGCACCGTTCTTACACATGGCATGATTTATGTTGCTTTGATGTGCAGAACATGGAGACTTCTTTCCTTTTGATGGGCCTTTGGGTAATCTGGCTCATGCTTTTCCTCCTGGTGATGATATTGGAGGAGATATCCACTTTGATGATGATGAAACCTGGACCAACGATTTCAGAGGTGGGTGTTTGTTTATTTATTCAGATGCAGGCTCCTCAGAAAAAGTGGCTTGTCTGGCCCAGCACACCCAGGAGTTTCTTGCCATACCATATTTGTTAAGGCTGACATTTCAAGGTAGCTGAGGCCCAGCTGCTTGGAACATCTCAGCCATAAGGTACTCACAGGACCCTGTATAACAATTCAGAGGATCTTGGTGCACAGCTCTTGAATCATGTGAGCAAACGAAGCTGCCTTGTACCAGGACAGGTTATTTGTTTATCCATGCCACGATTGTTTCCTCTGACTGTTAAAAGAGCTCAAGGCAAAGATTTCAGGCAAAGAAAGGACTTTCCTGTCACTTGCGAACTGATCCTTTAAACTGGAAACAATGGGGCCCTCTGTATAGAAACCATGTGTTCTACCATGGAGCTATGATTTCTGTGAGGTGCTTTTTCACAATCTATACATATCTAAATCTATAGATTTCTAATGCTTACTTTCTCTAGCTCGGTACCTCCACATGTGATAGACTATCCACATGTGATAGAGGGTACCTCATTAGACCATCAGATAACCTGGGATATCTTTAAATGCCTCCATGGAGAGGGCTGTCTTCACCTGGCACTGGAAGGATTACAGAGTTGGTGCCTGGAAGGCCTCCATGGGGAAAGCATTCCACAGTTGAGGGGCTGCCAGTGAGAAGGTCCCTCCCTCTATTGCCATCCTCAATCCCTGCCTCAGAGACGGCCATTGGAGGAAGGTCTCAGGAGCTGAACATAATATATGAGCAGATTGCAGCTGGGAGAAGAGTTCTGTCACATCTCTCTCAGCTTCGGTATCCCTCAGCTGTAAAATATCTGTATTGCTTAGGTGCCTTTGCCTGACCCTTTGGTCTTTGTGCAGTTCTGCTAACCAGTTTTAGAATTTGGTGCTTGATCTCTGATCTGTGGTAATGCAGATGTAGATTTTTATTTGCAGGGGAAAATATGCAGGCAAATCAGGCAGTTGGCCCTCTGAATCACTCCCCATGCAATTCAGCCATGTTTTTGCACCTTTATCTGGTTGCTAGACCTGGATACTAGCACAAAGTAGACCCCACAGGCATGTCCCTCCATCCCTGGACTAATAAGTAACAAAGAATCTATATTGGACAAAATAAAACCATTTACTCTAGGGCAGGCCGTCCACCTTGCCATCCGAAGAGGCCAGTTGTGATTCCTACCCAGAGGTAAAAGTGATGCGGGGAATCATGTGTGTTGTTCTACATCAGGAGGTGTGCAAGTAATTTTATGTTGTGAGCTGCCCCGAGGCTTCGGCGAATGGGGCGGCATAGAAATGTTTTAAACAAACAAACAAATAAATAAATAAACCTGGCTCCCATTCTATTTTATGCTTAAGTGTGTGAAAGCTGCATGGAGCACTGTGACTAACATAATCGGTCTTTGCTTTTTCCAGCCTTTAATTTATATGCAGTTGCAGCCCATGAGTTTGGCCATGCTTTGGGACTAGAGCACTCCACTAACCCTGAAGCTCTGATGTACCCCCTTTACACCTTCCGTGATTTGAAAGACATCGCTCTTTCTGAAGATGATGTGGAAGGCATCCAAGCACTTTACGGTACCCCATCAATATATGCACTTCCATTTCTAGGGAGGCAGGTATTAGTCTTCATGTGGTTCAGTCAGTTCTAGGTCTGCCTACGATATGAGTCTTCCGTAGGTAACTACTGGCAGATGGGGTTGCAGAAATGAAATGGAAGCATGTTGTCAAACACAGAAAGAGATGTGACAAAAGGCCACTTCTCATTATTTGCAGGTCCTGAAAATAGAACGGTCATTGCTGAGGCTCCAGAGAGGTGTGATCCAAACTTCTCAGCAGATGCTGTGGCAGAATTACATGGTGAAAAAATCATATTCAAGGACAGGTAAGAAACTGGTTCATGTACTCTCTGGTTTCATGTGCATTTCTAATTGCAGTCACTTTGAAGAAATTAATAGCAAAGGCTATCATGAAGAAGATGGGCAATGGATGGGAAGCCATGTGAGACATACCTAGATTACCACAACTCCTACCCTGAAGGAGCTTTGCCATGTTTTATCTTCTCTGCGCCTGCACTCACATTGAAGGCCTTTGCAAATCTTTTTTGAGCTTTACTACATACTTTAATTATGTACTCATTATTCCCTATTGATGGTTGTTTATGGGTTCCTTAGATAACACAGACCCTTCAGTTTAGCCCCATGAAGTTCCCCATTAAATCCTATTATTTTGTATGTGTGGAGGGGCTGTAGCTCAGTGGTACAGCACCTGCTTTGTCTGCCAAAAATCCCAGCATCTCTAAGTAGGGCTTGCAAACTCCAGCTTGAAATCCTGGAAAGCTGCTGCCAGTCCATGGTGGCAATATTGGGTTGAATGGTCTGACTCAGTGAAAGGCTGCTCCCTATGTTCCTGTACTTCATGTTGCTCATTATTGCTGCCAGTTAAATTTCACTTTGCACCTGCATGGGAGGAGAGTGAGGGAAGCATGCTTGACTCTCACCCAGCCATATTCACATCAAACTAAGACTATGGTTTAGTAAGAACCCCAGTGCTGTTGATTCTGAGCAGTGGAGACCCCTTGTTCCTTCTTCAAATGTCTAGGGGGAGATGCACTATGATTTCTTTTGAGCCTAGAATGTGTTTAAGCATTGATAATTATGCGTGTTTTCCATTCTAAACCAGATTTGTGTGGCATCAGAATTCTCAACAGGATGGGAATGACTGGGTCTACATCCATTCCCTTTGGCCAAAACTTCGGAACCGAGTGGATGCTGCTTATGGCCTCCCAGAGAAGGACCTTCTCTTTCTGTTTAGAGGTGAACGCTGCTTTGTCCTCCCCACTCGCCCTCTGCCCTGTAATTCTTCACCAGCCCATATGAGCCTTATTCAAACCCAAAGCGGATTCTTTAAATCCACAAGAAGGGGGAATGCATTGGCCTCACCAACCCACCTTGCCACTCTTGTCATGTTGCTCTTGTGGAGGGCAGCTCTGTGGAAAGGACAGAGGCCTCCTCTGTTCTGCAGGCTTTCCACAGGGTCCGGATTGCTAATTATTCAGTGTTCTTCTTCCCTGGTCTCCATGCAAATCACACACCAATGGGGCTCCAGGGGATTCAGGTTTTTCCCTACCTGGATGACTGGCTCCCTCTCTGGAGGGGGCCATGAGGAGCCAGTCATCCAGGTAGGGAAAAACCTGAACCCTGGAGCCCCACTGGTGTGTGAATGCATGGATGACCACTTGAAGAACGGCAGTTACAGGTAAGCAACCTGCCTTTCTCCATCACTTGACTACCCCTTTGTGGAAAGAACAGCTCCTTTTCACAAAGTTGCTCTCTCTACTTAAAGCACAACAGATGGAACAGAGTAGAGGAGCAGAGCTGATACGCTCCCCCCCCCCCCCGGCTTGGTTAAACAATCTGCTTAGATATTGCCTGAATGGTGTTCTTAATCACTTTATAGATAAGATAAAGCATAAATAATAAGTTGGGTGAGGAGGTTCAGGCCTGCAGGCCATATCAGTCTGTCTGGGTCATAATATGTCTCTCTGAGGTTCCTCAGATGACCATTCCTCATCTGTTTCTCCATCTGTTGATTGTGGGTGGATTCCCAGTGATTGGTGGTTTCCCAGTCTTCTGTCAGCCTTTGTATTATTCTGACAGGTTGAAATGCCTGTCCTAAAGCTTAGTTAACTGCAATAAGCTAATACTTGCAGGTGTATGTGGCCTCTTCCATCAAGCCCATTTTCCCCTTTCAGTTTCACAGCCAAAGCAGGGATTTCATTGGAAGGAGTAGGTATTGTGCGCCGTTATCAATGGGTAAATCTACCATGCCGTCACTTCCCTACATAAAAGAGGCTGGCAAACTCTTACTAGCTGTCCCAGAAGAGATATCAGGTAGCAGTGGGTGGGAAAGGACTGTACTTGAGATATGGAAACATTGTCTTATTCTCTTCTCAAAATTCAAAGCATGGTAGCCTGATAAGACAGTACTTTCCTGGCATGTTTTCTACCAATAGGGCACAACAGTAAGAGTGTGGAGATCCAAGCTACGGCAACAATAGAACAAATGTTGGGAGTCTATGTAAATAGTTGCCTAATGTAAGCTTTCTGCAAAATGCAGAGTTGTTGCAAATTCTGATTGTAATGGCGATCAATATTTGTTGGAACCTTTACTATTATATACTGTTACATACTCACATAGTGGTTGGACTGGGATTCAGGAGATCTGAGTTCTAGTCCCCACTCCACCATGTAGCTTGCTGGGTGACTTTGTACCTCTCAGCCTAATTAACCTCATGGGGATAAAGTAGAGAGGAGGAGGAAGATTATGTAAGCCTTTTTGTGTCCCTTGCAGGAAAAAGCAAGTTATAAGTAAATTCTGTAGAGCAGATGCATATCTAAACCCAGTTTTGAATTATACTTATCAATTCTTTATCATTGCATCAATTAATCAACACATTTTGTTTTATACAGGGAAGAAATATTGGGCTGTGAAAGGTTATGAGATACTTCATGGCTATCCCCAGAATCTTTCTGATCTTGGCTTTCCAAGCAATGTGCAGAGAATAGATGCTGCATTTCATGATGTAAAGACAAAGAAGACTAAGTTTTTCACTGGAGACAAGATATGGAGGTTGGAACTCAGCAGGCTGTTGACGGATGTGGCTCATTTAATCTGCATTCCCATAAAATTAAATAAACTTATGTTAGAAGCACTTTCAAAGCCAAAGCCTAGAAACCTACCAAATACTGCTTCTCTGTCATAACAGTGGATTCTATTTACACTGTGATAGAATCATGTCATAGGGTTACTCATGGTGCTGTGGTTAATGTGGGACTCAGATTTCTTCCTGGATCTTTTGCAATACAAATTTATCCCAGGCTGCCTTTACGCTAAGGTTGTCCAGTCTTCATCCTTTCTGGGATCTTTGCATCACCATGATCTGCTGTGAAATACTAACTCAGCTTTAAAAATATAGCTACAACTACAGCAATATGCTATTTTGGCAGGCATATCCATCATAAGCCGCAACTATTAATTAGCTCTGCAGCCTGAATATCCCTTGCTGTTGTAAATCTCTATGCACAAATTAACATTTAGCTGGTACTCTTGTTTTTGTGTAACAGCAATGATACCATTGCTTTTCCATGAAGCTCATTGTGTGAGTTTGAGCCAGTCACAGACTCTCAGCCCAACCTACCTCACAAGTCAGGATCTCCATTTGATATAGTGAGACTCTTTAACTGTTAATAATTTGGTATAGTTGGACCGTTACTCACACTAATCAACAATCCTTTGCTCCTTTTCCCCTCCAGTTTCTGGAGGAAAACGTTCCTGTTCGAAATTTCCAGAAACATTTAAGAAAAGCAATGAGTAAAGCTTGCACTGATCTCTTTTTATTCATTTTATGTTATAGCTATGATGAAAGGCTTCATTCTATGGACTATGGCTATCCCAAACTTATAAAGAATGTATTTCGTGGAATTGTCCATAAGGTCAATGCAGCATATCAACAGAACGGTAAGTGTTTGAACTCTTATTAGAGTAGGTCTTATTTGAATTTCTAGTCACATTACTAGTGGCTGAAAGCAAAATGCACTGGCACACACATTTTCATGCAGCTATTTAAGCATATGTCCTCACATGAATTTTTGTGTCATCTTTGTTCAGTGCCTATTCACTTGTATTGACAATCCATTAAGTAATAGGATGTCGACACATGTTTCGAGAGCAAGCTTAAGATGCTAGGAAGAAGCTCATTCTTGCACTCAAGAGTGCTGGGATATTTGGGGCTAAGCACTTTGTTAATCCAACAACAACCATGTTTATCTTACATGGTACTTGGAGCTGTGTGTGTGTGTGTGCACGTTTGTGTGCTGTCCAATTACACAAAAGTGGATAAAACACAGCAGATCATATTCAAGAAATGTTGTTTAGATGTCAAAGATCACAACCCAGAATCTTCAGTTTGCTCTTCAAACATTATAAGCAAGCAGTCAAATTTATAACAGGTGGGCATTTAACAATAGTGGCACCCTGCTTAGAATTGCAGACACTTATTAATTCCTTTGCTTGCAGGTTCCATATATTTCATCCGTGGGCCGCTGCTAATTGAATACAACATCAGTCACAAACGGAGTATCCGCACTTTGCCAGCAAACTCTGTGTTAGGCTGTTAAAGCACAAGAAATTCTGTAGAAGTCTGGCCAGCTGAAGATGTTATGAAACATAAGGATGATGCCTTTAGCAACACTGGAAGTACAACAGTAGCACTGGAAATTTCTGTATAGTTTAGACCGCCTTGGACTATGGCTAATTCTTGTATGTTCCTCTTTCCCTGTGAAGATGGGGCAGTCAGAAATCTGTTCCTCTTATTTTCTTCTCTGTACAAAACATGCAACGAGAAATGCATGAAGATCTGACAGAGAAAAGGTGTACTGTAATGAACTGCTGCAACTCACTTGGCAGCTTCTCATAAAACCACTAATTTGGATCTGGTGATTTTGATTAAAACACTAGACCTGAGTGTCTCTGTTAACAGGCAAGCTGAGAATGCATCTGGGAACATTCATTAGTGCCCATCTGAAACTAGCATTGCAACACCATTATCTCTAGTTCTGATTTGGTTAAATTTGTCTATCTCATACGGTACTTGGAGCTGTGTGTGTGTGTGTGCACGTGTGTGTGTTGTCCAATTACACAAAAGTGATGCCACAATAAACTGGGTCACATATGTGCATCCATTTCTTGATTTCTGATCAGGGGGTTGCCTTGTATTTATGACCTATGGATGAACATGGGCACCAGCATCATGGAAAAACCATGGCGCCTAAGATGATGCAGTATAATAATATGGCAGTTCTATCCATGATGTTGTATCTGTGATGCAAGATACCTCTTGATGTCATGGAGGGCACAGGGCTTTGGGTGCCACAGCCATTTCTGTAGACAAACATAATGCCTCTTCTGGAATGTGTCCTCTTTTTTCCCTGCTTCCTTCCCTCTAGGCCAAATTGCACAACTTTTCCAGTGCCCAGCCAAGGGCATGACAAGTTGCCTGCTTTTGCTGGCCTGGGCAAACAGAAAAACTAGTAGGTGTATCAGCCTCTGCTGTACAGAACAGGTGGACTGCCTGTTCATGGGTTCTGGGAGTGACAAATGGCATGGGTGCGAAGTGCATGCCATTCCCTTCACAAACAGCCCCCTCCCCAAGAAATTTGCCCCTTCTAGAATTTGCACATGTCTTCTCTTGAGTAGAAAGAACCTGCATTTACACCCCAGGATCACAGAACGTAGCAGGGAAAAAGCATGTTTGCATACAAATATGGCTAGCTACCAAAACCAGGCCAGACTTAAAGCCTTAAATCATTTTATTTTTAAGAAATAGTTCCTGAGGGAAAAGAGACCTCAAAATACATGGTGGTTAGAATGTCAAAATATGGCACACATTTTGTGTCAAAAAACCCCAAACAAGCAAAACCATAGAAGGAGGTCAAGAAGCAATCAAAAATACCCACAGGTTTTGTGGATATGTTGTCATTGCTTCTTGGGTCTTTCTCTTTTGTGTTTTTAAGGAGTTGTACTAATACACAGGTTATTCATTGCATCCCCCTTCCTCTCACTGACAAGAGTTTTTGGAGGAAAAGGATGTATAAAAATGCTCTCCTACTTTCCCACAGAGAACATGTATTCACCTCGTACATGCTCAAGTATCAGAGCTGCTTAAATAATTTGCTTATGCTGCCTTTTCAGTCTTCTAGTCTTGCACAATGTAAGACTGGCTTTATCTACATTAAAGACTATGTAATGTAAGACTACATTATCCAACCAGGGTAACATGCATTGGTTTAGAAAAGCCCGCAAGGAAGTTTATGTCTAATAATTATGTCTGTTGCTTACTGCAGTTCCTTTCCTGTGGTCCATTCTACACGATCTTAAAAATGGGTTGCAATGTGGGTTGACTCAAACATAGCCTTGGAAATTCCTATACTGTTTTTCATTTAACAAAACCCAAACAAACCCACAGTGGTTGTCTAGATCAAATCATGATAAAATACCATGAAACCAATCAATAAAATAAAGGCACAGTCTTACATACGTTTAGAGAGAGAAAGAAATGCTACCACATCCTGGTCATTCAGTGAGAGGAAACAAGCAGTCCATGGACTTGTTCTTTGAATGTTTCAACAATCTGCAGGCTGCCTTTTGCTTTCACAGCAACACATGAAAAGCACAGTTCAGCAGTGGTATTTATTTAGACTCCCAAGTCCCAAACAATAAAGTAGTAATATTTATTGAAGGCATATGTGGAGCTCTCCGTTTGAAACCTATGGCACTTTGCTGGGTGCTTTGGCTGGACTGTGTACTTATTTTGTTGGTTTGATACTTTTGGTAATACATTCATGTATTACCAAAATGCTTGTGCAGGCAATTTATTTGACTGGTTTTTTTTTTTTTTTTGCTTGCTAGCTATATAGTAGTACTCATTATCCTAATGAACACTGGAAATTAACTGGTGTTTTGTGGTGGAATAAGACAGGACTCAGCAGGCCTGTTAAGGACAGGAAATTTTGGAGGGTGTTCATTCATAAATTGGAGACAACCTGACAGCATGTAACGAGAAAGGAAGGGAGGGTATCAGCTATGGACATTCATTAATGTTAATGTGCAAAAAATGTTAGAATGCTGAGATGTTGTTAGAATGCTGAGAATGCTGGGTGAGGGTAGAGAACTGCTTTTAAAAATTCACATGCAGAGATGGAAACTGGAGACGACAAGAAAAGAATGCACCATCTAATACCTGTTACCTAATACAGCCACTTCAGGTTGCTTCATAAGGCAGAACTCACTGGAGGTGGATAAGAGAAAACACTGATTTTATGACTCAGACAAATACATAGAGAAAAGGAAGTGGTCTCTCAGCCAATCAGAACCAGCCTACCAGTCAATAAACATCCTGTAACAAGCAAACTTTGCACACATGGAGGGGAAATCCTAGATAGGTAATAGCCTGATTACCACAATGCTACAGTTGATTTTCCTGTCTCACAGCCACACCTAGAACAGATGAAACTAGAAAATTGAACCAGAGAGCCCTTCTGCCCACTTCTAATGGTTTTTGCTGTGTGATGCTGATTGTCATTATTCTCAACGAATTGGTTGACCTTTAACCAGTGCTGTTTCCTGTCTGACTAGGGTTTGGTCAACTGTCTAGATTTACTCTCGGAAAAGTCATAGGCAGTGAAACACTGAGTAACTAAATAGGTACCTCAAAATGGGCAAGGCCAGGAAGTAATTTATCCAAGCTTCATGCAGCATGCTCAGATTAACAGTGGTACCATGCAGGTGTAGCTATTCTCTCGTAAGATAGTTTAATGCTTGAAGGGATATCATTGAATAGGATTTAATAAACTTGCTATGCTCAGGATTTGCATGCCAAAAATGCTCCCAGATTATACATCAGTGGGGAAAGAAGAATTATAGGCCTCTGTAGGAGCATCATTAAATTTGCTTTACCCTTTACCTTCTGTATGAATCAAATGCCATTACTTTTGTCACATGATACAAAACCAATAAATATGTTCCAGAACCCTGTACTTGCTCCTGGAGGTCTTGCTCACACATATTGCTCCATTCATTTGAAAAGAGCTGCAGATCTGGCCACAAAAGAAATTAACACTTGGGTTCTGTATGGCCCTAGAAATTGACAGGGAAGCTCTACTGTGGTTGGAACTCTCATGCCTGTAACAAATGGGTAGATGAGGGGCTGCTGATCTGTTGTCCTCAAGGTATATGCAGCCCGATCAAGTCCAGAACTTCCAATGCAATGCTCCGTGTGACATCGCAGGAAACTGACTGTAGAGGCATTAGCTTCTTCAAACACTTCCGGAAAGCAGTTGAAAACATGCACTGATGCTCCACTTTTTAAGGTTTATCCCCTCATCTCCAAAATATCTGGCTGCCTGCCTGGAAAATATTCTCCATCCAATTTCGCCCCCTCCCCATTCCCAATGAATGGGAAGTCTCCAAGTGAAGGCTTTGAAGGGGGCATCCAGGCACTGTGCAGCCGGGGCCCGATAGCCTTACAGCACGCTGAGATGCCGTGGGAAATTTAAGATGTGGCTCACAGCCATCCACCACCGTCACACCACCAGGAACCCTGTGCATGAACGCAGAAGCCCAAAGAAGGAATGCAACATGCATTCTCGCTCTTCTCATCCCACCTTCATGCACTCCATGCAATAGATGGAAAAATTTTTTGCCTATTGCTGGATCTTGGTTGTCTGTGAGAATGAAAGAAAATAAATCATTGTTACAAAAGGCAAAAGGTGGGTCAGAAACTTTATTGCCAAGTAATCAAAAATGCTCTGTTTGCTCCGCTCAGCCCTTCCCACAACACCTGGGAATATGCTGAGACTGTGTTTCTAAGCCACTAGTGGGACAACAGATTCCTAAAACCCCAAGCCTATATGAGGGGAAGCAGGGGGCGGAGGGGGGAAGCAGGGCAAGCATATTTACTTTGCAATCACTCAGAAGTCATCTCTGAAAGGGGATGAGTCACTCGAGTAGCTCTATAAAAGTCAAGCTAAGTTGATGGGGAAACTATTGGAGTTCCAAAACGGAAGCATCCTTCCAGCATGATGTCCCTAAGCTCTGCAGCTACCTTTGTGCTCCTGCTGGGCATCTCTTGGTGCTTTAGGCTTCCAATGTCAGACGAGTCAGAAAGCGATGAGTTCACCAAGCAAGATTATGAGTTTGCAGAGGTACAGTATAGCTCTCTTTCTACAGATGATTGCTTGATTCCCTCTGTCTTCCTCCCTTGACTCTGCTGCTTTTCCCCTCTGTTAAAGCATAGCTTGTAAGCTGTTTGGGGAAGAACCCTGACTTTGTGCTCACATCGGCTTGCAAAGTAGTACTAGTAGCTGTAGTACAGGACTTTTCAGTACCACACGAGAAGTCTAAATATTGTTGGTTTTCTTTGTAGCGTTATCTAAAGACTCATTACAACCTCCGGTCCAATCCTGCTGGCATACTGAAGGCATCAGCTGATAGCGTTGCTTCCAAACTTCGAGAAATGCAGGCCTTCTTTGGACTGGAAGTCACAGGCAAGCTAGATGAAGAAACATATGAGTTAATGCAACAGCCCAGATGTGGAGTTCCTGATGTGGGGGAATACAACTTTTTCCCTCGAAAGCTGAAGTGGTCCCACAATAACTTAACATACAGGTAAGATCCCTGTTCCTAGGTCCCATTCCCAAACTTTGATGCTGGTGTAATTCCATGCAATGCCAACACACAGTGCCTTTGCCAGCTTTCAGATGTTGTCCAGATGTGTTGAGAGCCAGTGTGGGGTAGTGGTTAAGAGCATGGGACTGGGACTCAGAGGATCTGGGTTCTAGTCCCCGCTCAGCCATGGAGCCAACTGGGTGACTTTGGGCCAGTCACAGACTCTCAGCCCACCCTACCTCACAGGGTAGTTGTTGTGGTGATAAGATGGAGGAGGAGAGACGATGTAAGCTGCCTTGAGCCCTTTGAGGAAAAAGGCAGGATATAAATCGCAATATAAATATGTTGGACTATGCCTGCCAGCACCTGCCTGCTTGTCTAATGTCAAAGGTTCATGAGCGTTGTAGCCCATACAACTGGAGGGTACTGGGTTCAGGAAGAGCGACCAATGCAATGCCATTTTCAATGGCATTACATTTGCATGCATTATTATATCTCATTTTGGTTATAAAGAAAAAGTAAATGCTTTATATCAAGTAAAGAAACATGGTGCAGCTCTCTGTTAGAGTGGCAGAAGCTCCGTAGGGTCTTAGCCTTTTCCTTGATCTCATCTAATACGCAAGGAATATGGTCTGCCATTGAGTTATAACCCATCTCTTAAACACTTAGTGGTTTGCTTGGGCGTTTTTTGGTACCGCTTTAGGCATGTGCATCATGTTTTTCAATCCGTAAGGAACAGTCCTATGCACATTCAGATACAAAAAAGTCTTGTAAATCCCAGAATTTCCTGGCTGGCATGTGCCCTAAGCCAGCTCATGCCCATAGTTATGATCTGCATCCATGAGAACAAGATGTGTTACATCTTGCAACATTTGACAACTGTTAATGTGATGCATTATTAGCTTCAGACCAACAAAAGTCATAAGTTGCTGGGCATATTTCATTTGCTCGATATCAATTCCTTTGATCCATACATTTGCAAATTTTGGCTGATAAGTGAGTAGAGGAATCCATGAGCTCAGCGAATGAGATGCTAGAAGGCATTCAGTAAAACAAGAAAGAAAATAAGGCTTGCATCTCTAGCTTTACCTTCAGGGTCCTTTTGGCGGAATTGTCTGGCTTTATTTTGGGGAATACAGGACACTACTAACATCGGATGTTAGGCAATTAATTGCCTATGCACTAGAAAGCAAGACAAAAGCCCTGATCCAGCTTAATTATGTGTGGATTTTGTCTTTCACTGTTACTTCAAAAAAGGTCAGGTTACTATAATGCAGCAATAAAAACACTGTGTAACCCCAAAATCTCAATTCTATATCAAAAAGGTGCCTGTATTTGTATTCTTGTTCTCACTAAATAATCAGTAGAAAGACAAAAGCTGCTGTGCTAGTACAGGAATATTTTGCAGCCTGTTTTTGGAGTTTGCAAAAACCCCTTGTTTACCTCTTTGTTTGACTGATAGGATTGTAAATTACACTCCTGATCTGAAAAAGTCTGAAGTGGACAGAGCATTCAGGAAGGCTTTCAAGGTCTGGTCGGAGGTGACACCACTCAATTTTACTAGAATTCACAGTGGCACTGCTGATATCATGATTTCCTTCGGAAGGAGAGGTAACCAAAGAGCTTTTTTTTAAAATGGGGATAGTTGTGTTGTCCCATCACCGGATTAGAAATTAAGAAAATCGTAGAATTTATTGTAGTTTCCATTATTTGTAGAGCATGGTGACTTCTATCCCTTCGATGGACCTTCTGGACTGTTGGCTCATGCTTTCCCTCCTGGCCCAGATTATGGTGGAGATGCTCATTTTGATGAGGATGAACTGTGGTCAACTGATTCCAAGGGTAACATGTGCTCCAATGATTATTTGCATTACTTTGATGTGGGTTGTTGGTTTTAAACAGCATCCACTGCCAAGTTAAGCAATGTTTAACTACTGAATGGTTGAGAAACTAGTCTTTCCCTTTTACTGGAGAATGTGTTATTCATCTTGTTCACATGAATGATTTCACAAACTGTAAACAGTGGCTGAATAGGATAGTTTAAAAAAATCTTCTATTCCTTGCTCATGTTGCCTGAGCTGCAGCCACTTAAGCAGATCAGTCCCCTGTTGTTCTCCATGTTAACTTGAAAGTATCCCATTGAATTCCCATGGGACTTAATCCCAGTTAAATGTCATACGGTGGTAGCCTGAGTCTGATTTCAGTGAAATTGAAACATACTGCACTGAGTTCTGTACTGAGCAGATGGTTGGACTCAATGGCCTTCTTGGCCCCTTCCAACTCTATTAATCTATGATTCTATGGTTCTATTATTCTGTATCCACGTATATACTTTCTTGCTGCTCAATGAATTAATTTAGATGACATATATTATTCCTTTAATGTGAGTCAAAAGTAGTGTTTAGGCTGCTGCTATTTGAATATATTACACAGAAGAAATCAAAATAATTGCATTAATTGGATGCAAAGTGTATTGCTTTCATGACCATATCTACATGTTGCTCTCTAGGATATAACTTGTTTCTTGTGGCTGCCCATGAGCTCGGTCACTCACTGGGACTTGAGCATTCCAGGGACCCAGGAGCTTTGATGTATCCAATTTACACCTACACGGGAAACACTGGCTTCTTGCTTCCAGATGACGACTTCCAAGGAATCCAGGCTCTCTATGGTATGCCCACCCTTTGCCATGTCCTTATTTGTATGCATATTATTCTGCAGTGGATAATGAATTTGGATAGCGAATTTTGGATAGTGAATTTTGTTGGTCTTCCTATGAAATAGGAGTCACTATATGACCTTACATTACAATCACAACTTTCTATCATAACTTGGTGTTAGATCCTGCAGAACCTGATATGTAAACTTATGCTAATCAATACCAGACTTCTAATGTTCCTCCTGCTTCACATATGTACATATTCTCAGTTTTATCAGTCCTGTTTGCAATTTAAAATTTTACCTTTTCTAAATTTACCTTTTAAAATATTACCCCCTCCCCCCACCTATCTTCCTGTATCTCTTACATATGCTGTTAACGTGCTAGCATATTCTCACTGCATCTCTACTGCCAATTTTGGCAAACTCTTCACTCCATCATAAACCTCCAATCATCACTGCCATCCTGCATATTCTTTTCGTCAAGCACAACTGCTTAATGTGTTAGAGGCCTCCTTAGGACAACCTTGAATTGAGGCTAATCTTCAGTTTTCTTTGATTTCATGATCATAGCTAAAATAGCTGAAATAGAGCATATTCACTGCACACCACCTATGGCTTCCTCTAGACTCCTTCCTTAACTGTTACATACGAACGCACCTTTTAACAAGCTTCAGACCAAAGCCAGCTGAGATGCACCGTGGTCCATTCAGAAGCTGAACAATGCCTTCAGATTAATCCAGTGGTGCAGAATTTAATTTTAGACTGCAGATGTGGAAACTGCATGTCCGAATACTCTCTCATATCACCCCCCCACACACACATTGCATGTACAAAAGCTAGCACATCAGGGAGAAGTTTATCCTAGTTTTCTATAGCATGCATTTTGATCACATGCATTGTTTCCAGTACAGGTGCTCATACCACAGCTATCCTGAAACAGCAATGAGAATGATCTAGTCAAATGTATAACTGTGCTCCAAGCTAGGAAATCTATCTGCATCTGAAGCTAGTATTCAGGGTGTACTATATATTGGTGAAAGGAAAAATCGAACCTTGCATCCACAGTTATTGCTGATAGCTTTTCACTGATAGCCTTTCTTTTCCATGTCATATTGAACACTTCCATATGTCATCCACATAAGGTTTTGCTCAACTATGGGGGAACTCAAGGCCACTCTCATAACATGTAATTTACCTGCACAGGTGCAGGAGACCACGATCCTCACCCTGATCACCCCAAAACTCCAGAGAAATGCAGTGCAAACTTGACCCTTGATGCCATCACAGAACTCCGTGGGGAAATGATGATCTTCAAAGATAGGTGGGACATCCATGAAATATCAGGTGTTTTGTTGATATGCATGGACTTTATGTGGGCGTGTAACTGTGGAAGTGAGTAGGAGCTCCTTGCAGACATTCCTGCTCCACACAGGAAGGTCTATGGAAGTGTAGAAGCACCTGGAGATGCTGGGTGTGGGGCTGAGGGGTAGGAATGCACATGTGCCCTGAGTCTCCTACCCAGTTTTACCAGCACATGTGTGTGCATAAGGCTGCTGTGAACCCATCAATACAAGCTTTGCTGAATGCACTCATAGCAAGAAACAGGTTCTGTAATTTGACTTTTTGAATGAAGAATATTTAATGACGATGCTATTTGTTCATATATTTCTTCAGTGCTATCTGAAGCCTCATTCAATATCTTTAAATTTTGATGCGAGTCACCATATTTCTCTCCCTATCACAGGTTCTTCTGGCGTCTGCATCCACAGATGGTTGATGCAGAATTGGTACAAATTAAATCATTTTGGCCAGAAATTCCAGGCAAGATTGATGCTGCCTATGAAGACCCCGAAAAGGATCATGTGCTGCTATTTAGGGGTAAGTTTTCACGTATAACTTGATAACACTGGCAGGAAATTGTGAGGATAACTGTGGAAATCAGCTTGAAGGGAGATTCCCTTATTTAGTAGGCAAAGTCTCAAAACTTTTGAGTGTTGTAACATGAAACAGAAAGAGGAAACAGCCATTACAAAATCAAATTCATGTTGCAGACTTCATTTGGCCTTTTTATCTGACTTTATTTTTAAGGGCTGTAAGAAATACTGGCCAAATAATCAGATGTGAGCACAACAATCCAACCATTGGGTCAGTGAATGGGAACAACTACCTAAGGGTGGGAAGGTGCAGTGCCATCTTTCTTTTTTCTAAGTCCTCCTCATTCTTATTTTTATAATTCCTACTCACCCACACTCATTGGTTGCAGTGGGATGGAAACCATCTATACCAGCTCCAGGTCGAGCATCCATTGATCCTTCCTCTCCTTCCCTCTCAGAAAAGATGAACCAAAATACCCTATTGTCCCTGGGACATCTTCCCAGGTACCACAAGTCTAAATATGCAGAAATGTGCATATGATTAAAGCAAGTTCTAAAAAGGCATATTTGTTTATCTTTGATGCACGTGTTGCAGCTGACACTAATTTTGAAGAGACACTTCTGTGTTGTTGTTGTTGTTAATAGACCCATGCTACAAATTAACCAAAGATAATTTCATCAATTAATTGATTTTTGTTTATTTTTTTTAACAAACAAAGGCACCAGGGTAATACAAATGCCATCCTTAAATGCTCTTCTTTTAAAAGCATCACAGCTACTTAATTTTAAATCTTATTCCACTTGTTTCCATGCATGTTTTGCAGGCAACTATCTCCATGGATTGTTCCCTTCCTAGTGGACTTTGTCCATGATTGCAATATATATATGGCGGAAAGCAGCAAAGTATAGCACAGGGTGAAATTTTGATGCCTGAGTTGCATTCTCCCATTCCATGAGCACAAGGTGACTGTGATGGCCTTTGAATCTGTCCTCACCTCTGGTAGCAGGACAGTGCCCTCCATCAAACCTTACAGCATCTTGGGGGTATTGGGTAGGCTGTGTAGCGTACAGCCCTCTCCTCCAGTGCCACCTCCCTCGTCGCCACCTCCCAGCCCTCTGCCCGCCGGAGTCTTTGCTTCAATTGCCTAATGACAGGGCTAGCCATGATTAAGGATCGCCACGTCCCTCTGCTTTTCTGTAGGGCATTGTTGAGCATAAGCTTTAGTGCCCCTGGCTCAGCGAACTGGACTTTTAAATGCCATTAGTCCTGGCTGGATCATGCCCCTTGCTACAGTGGGTTTGCTGCCAGCCTCACCCCTTCTAAAATTGCCAGTGTCAAGCAAATAATCTCAAGGCTTTAGAGGATGAGAAAGTGACATAGTTGAAGTAGATCTACACCCAGCTCCAAGTAATATACATTATCCACCCTTATTCACAGGCAAGAAATTTTGGGCTTTGAATGGCTATGATATCGTAGAAGGCTACCCGAAAAAAATCTATGAGTTGGGTTTGCCACGATCTGTGAAGGCAATTGATGCAGCCGTCCACATAAGCGACACCAGCAAAACTCTCTTTTTTGTAGGAGAAGAATACTGGAGGTATGTCGGCAATGTTTTCACCTGTTGCCAGAGCGGTCAGATTATGTTCAGCTTCTCTTTCTGTCTTTTTCACTCTTGCAATGACCTGGGACAACCTGCATACTGACCTAAACATGCTGCAGACTATGATTAGATCATACCCTACAATGATAGCATCCAAACATTAGTCATATTTAGAGCAGTCCCACTGAAACTTAATTTAGACATGGCCATTTTAATTCATAAGCCTATACAAGCTTAGACAGAGAAAAGGCCTACAATTCCCAGCATGCTCCAGGCCTTTTCTCTGTCTAACTAAACATACATAGGATTGTGCCCTTAAGTGCCAATAATCTCAAATATGTGTGAATCTGGACCCAGCCTGAGAAGTATTTGGGGGAAAGGTTATTCGGAGATATTAACTGCTTAGCATTTCCTGATTTGTAAAGAAAGTTACTCACTTCTAAAGGCTTAAGTATGTGCAGTAGAGGAGCTGATTAATTCTACTCTGTCTCCTTTTGGTTGCAGAGTGTGAGGAATGGTGTGGGGCAGAATACCACCCAATTTAAGGATCTCCCTTTCGAAAGAAATGCATGTATCTTCCATTTTGTGTGTGCATATTTCTTCTGTCCTCCATCCATCCCACATATAACCACATAGCCATAGGTGGTAAAAATGTATAGATTTTGCAGCAGACACTTGCATATGGCAGTTTGTACAAAAATGCTGCCGTTTTGTAGTTTTATTTTTACAGTAGTTATTTTTCTTAATCTGGATTTTATGCTTGTTGTGTGGATTTGTTGTAACCAGCATTGAGTAGATGGCCTTGAAACAGAATTGTACTACATCTTTCTACATATGAGCAAGGCTTTGCTTACTTACTTATTTTCCTTCTGCTTGTAGTTATGATGAAAAGAACCAAGTTATGGACAAGGACTACCCTAGATTTATAGAGGAAGATTTCCCAGGGATTGGACACCGAGTGGATGCCGCCTACCACAAAAATGGTATGCGTTTACTTTTAGTGTTTAGGGATGGGGCAGCTGATATCCCAGGGCAGTAGCCAGCACCCCGCAGGACCCTTTGCTGATGCCTGCAGATGTTCCCCTCCCTGCTTTATTTTTTTGTGGCCCACCATGGAAGGCACCATCAGGGCGTTTGGTTCACCCTTTCTTTTAATATATGACAATGACCAATGCCTTTCAGAGATGCAGCCAGCTGCTTCTGCTTGGAGCGCTCTTGTCACTGCCCCTCATCCCCACTGCCAAATAAATCCACCACAGTTCCTGTAGGGAGGGTACCAACCATAGGACGCCTTTCCTTGTGAGTCTTCAAGTTGGGAGCCAGATCCATCCGGCATCCTTCCCCCTGGTCCTTCTGCAGACAGATGAATAGTCTGCAGAAGGACCAGTAAGGCTAATGACTGGTGGTCCCTCTGCTGGTTCTGTTTCTTACCTGCAGCTAAACATCAGAGGGTCACCAGGTAGGCTTTCTTGCATGCTGGGGCATACAGTGAGAGCATCCCTGGCAGTGTTCCCAAATTGTGCAGACCTGCTCTAGCACCTTAATCAGAAAATCATTTGTGCACCAAAGACGTGTATTCAGAAACAAATGAGTGACCAACTAGTGTAAGTCTGGATCTTTAACTAGGCTTTTGTGAAATAGAAAGTCTCCTTCCATTCATGGATCTCGAGATCTTGCCAAAGGACAATAATGTTCACCAGTCCCCCTCCTGCTGCCCTGGGGAAGACTTGCGGGGGAGCAATGGAAGGCAAACGGAACTGGTAAACGTCATCCCATTATCTGCTGGTGGGAGCATCCTGTGAGTGAAATCTCCCACCTGCAGAAGCAAATTCATGATTCCAGCTGTGGCGGTTTTACAATGTATAGTCAATTGTTTTAACAAAAGAAACAGTAGCTGTAGAGTAGCACATTTATCTAACAGGTTTTCTGCTCTTGCAGGTTATATATACTTTTTCAATGGACAACTGCAGTTCGAATTTGGAGTCTGGAATCAGAGAATCGTTCGGGTCTTGAACACCAACTCTGTTTTCTTATGCTGATTGCATTTGAGCAGGTTCTGACCTGTGGAACAACTGGTTGCCCGTGAAAAATCATATTGTGGGTGTTGGGTTTTGTTTGTTGTTTTAACGTAGATGCTTGATTCTGTGAACAAGCTCTGGCCACTTTGCTGTTGAATTTATAATGTATATATGAGACTATATCATGCTACGTACATCAGTCTGGAACTGAATTAAAAAGGGATGGAATTCATAATTCAGAAGCATTTTATGAGGCATTTCAACATTTAAAAGGTGCATGGAGAATCAGTGAATAACTGTCTTGCCAAGTGCCGAGTGAAGAAAGCTTCCAGACAAGATTGTCACGGTACCATTGCCCTGTGTCCTTCAAAGAGGCTTATGCAACATTCAGACATTGTCTCTGGTATTCATAAACCACCCAAGTTTTTTTTTTAAACTGCTTTTTCCATCTTTTTCCTTAACAAAGAAGATGGAAAGCTGCACAATGTCTTCTGACTGCTAATGTGAGCAGTCCTCTGTCTGGAAGCTCCTGGAAAACTACTGCTCTCTAACACGCAAGAGCAAAAGGTGAATTTGTGCCTTGTAAAAGGAACAGAGCACCTTTCCAGGGGAGCCCCCCAAATCCTACAGGTGAAGATAGGGCTTCCATCTCCTGGCACAGAGACAGTCCCAAAGACCCAGATGGAATGGAGCCTTCCTCCATTCTGACCTGCCTGCACTGTTCCACTGTGTTATACTTTTATCTGCATTCACTAACTTTTATTTGTTTGTTTGTTTATTTATTTAAAACATGCATAAACCATGCTTCTGCCATAGTTTCCATAGCAACATAGAAATAAAAATATTAAAAATACAGGGAGATAGAACAAGTCCAAGCAGGCAATTCAGATCCAGGATAAAAGCAGCTGAAGAATGGAAGCTGCACTCAGTGTCTTAGGAATAAGTCCTGCTAAACTCACCCAGGGGCTTCCCTTGCAGCAAATATGCTCTGTAAAAGGCCAGGGCATGCAAGAATTTGCTTTGTTTTATTTTGTTTACTGAAAACTAAACCCAGAATAAAAAGAGCACCAGACTTTGGTTTTTTTCAAAAGGCAACAGAAAACAAAACAAGCAGAAGCCCCAGACAAGAAGCGAGCTGAATAAAATGCTGAACCAATTTGGAAAACAGTGGTCCTCAAGGCAGGGATGGGCAGCTGAGGGGTCAAGGTTGCATGTGGCTAACTCAATTTCAAAAGCCTTCTGCAAGAGATAGGCTCAGGTCTCTGACAAGAGCAAAAGGCCCCTTCCCCAGCTGCCCACTGAGTGAGGAGGAAAGGAAAAGGTGATTGTGTATGCGCATGTGTGTGTGAAGAAAGGCGAGACAAAAAGGGAGAGAAAAGAGGGTGGCCATGCGTGCTTTTGCTTCTTGCCCCATCCAACACTGGCACTGCCCTTATCCTCAGCAGCCTTTAACAGAAAAAATGTTCCCCACCCTATGTGTGCTAAACATGATACATCATACTGGAAACTGGATTCTGTCTGAAAACTTGGATGCAGTGACAAACCACCAAGTATTTTCCTTCCTCTGTGCCTGCAATCCACACTTGCTAGGGAGGAAATCTCACTGAACTCAAAGGTGCTTTCTTCTGAGTAGACATGAATAGGATTTCACCATACACAGTTAAGAAAAAGTTTGGATAGATACTGTAATGACACGCAGTGGTTCCCCTCTCGTGATTTTCTCCTGAGTATCCTTGGGAACTGAAATTCTGAGAGGGACCACAGAAAATTGTATATCCCAGCACTATCCTTAATTTCTTGTGAGACCATGGAGGAATTTGTGACTTTTAAGCAATGTTTTAAAATAAAGACCTTCATTTCCATTTATGCCTTTTCAGTTTTTTAATTTATTTTTAAGCATTTTGTATTTTTCCTTTACTGTCTGCAAATTCCCAGTATGCAGACAGCATTTGACGTACTAGTCCTGTCTTTATGTTGTGTTATTAAAAGTTGTTAAATAAACCAGTGAAATGCACAAAAACATTGGGCCTTATAGAATTTTATTTTAAAACTAGTGCTATTTTAAAATATATAATACTATATATGGGAAACATGATTTTTAAATATTTTGCATGTGTGTTTTCATATTTCATGTCAGAAAACAGGAGAAGAAATCTTTTCTTTGTTTATGCTCTCACCCCAAATCCACTCCCTTCTTCCTTGCACAAGCCAAAAAAAGTTCCATAAACGTGTGGTTACAAAATGTAGGGCCAGAGGAAATGTTTTTCCATATGCAAGCAGAAAGTGCTTTCCGGTAGGAAGGCTCTAGTCTTACTTTTTATGATCACATGCTTAATATCTGTATTTCATTAAGTGGTGCACAGCCCCGACTCCACCTTCGTTGAGTTGTCAAGAGTTCTTTTCTGTTGCTTTGCACAATGAAGAGAAAGAGGCTGAAAGCTTGGAAGATCATAGTGTGAGTTCATGGAAAAGCAGTATTAGAAGCAGAGACTGATTCATAGCTCAGGCTTAGCCATGATATTGGACCAGTCCCGTACTGTCATTCTGCATCACCAAACTCGAGGGGAGATTTGTCATTGCTGTCTGTGGTTAAATTTGTGTTAGATTGTTCACGATGATGCCCCAATATGCTGATGACATGCAGGGAAATTCTGTGGCTGTAAAAGGGTACAATCTGAGGAAGCCATTAGCTGGTGACCTCATAGCTTGCAATTGCAGAATCCTTTCCTCATGGGAAACAAGATTGTCCCATGCAATTTCTCAGTGCTCCAGGGCTGTCCTCCAATGGTCACGAAGGGCAGTGACGATTTCTCCAAAGAGACAAGTTTGGAGGAAGCGATAACACTAAAATTCCTTCTTTGAAGTCTCAGAAAGTGATATACCCATTCCTTTGTTGCTATGTGCAGGTTCCATGTGGCCACTTTCTTGTTCAGCTGTGAGTTCCTTTCTCCCTCTTAAACTCCTGGTGAGCTGGCTTTAAGGGCTTTGTGAGTGTTTCTCTTCCTGGTCATCATTCACATGAGCCATAGTTCAGCTGTCCAGCCTGCTCATTTCTTGTTCTGAGGCCAGATAGCCAGGGAGAAGCTAGGGATTTTCCTCTTGAAGAAAAAAAATCCATTTCTTTGCAGCTGAAGCTCTCTCATGGCAGTGTACAAGATCTAAACCCACACAAAGCAGATGCTTAAAAATTCCTGAAGAATATATTCAATGAAGATCCACCAATACAGCATCCCAATAAAAATCCATGAGAACACTATGCCAGGCGTTCATTTCACACTGAGCTCCCCCGCCTCACAGCTCTCCTGCCCCAGTTGAATCTCCCCGAACCTCCAAAGCCACTTGTCTCACATGCCACACCAGGATTTCAGAAGGCCTGCATTTGTGTTTGGCATATGTAGAATTTGCAGCAGAGCTGGTGCCCAAGGCAGGCTTGCTCAGGGGCCTACCCAGGGCCTGCAGCTCAGCAGCGACCCACTGACAAGAGCCCCCTGGAGTTGCCCCAACTGTCCACTGTGCCAAGCTGCTTTTTCAGCTGCCTGTTGATGTGGTCTAAAACCTGATGGTGGAGAAGCCCCAGCCCACTTGCTCTGTATGTCCGGCAAGCAAGTGGTGGCCATGTTGAGAAGCAGGGAGAGAAGCCATGGCAGCTGGTGACCATGGCAACAAGAAGGTGGACTCATGGAGAAGGGGGGCCTCTTGAAGGTGTCTCGCCTGAGGGCCCTTTGAAACCTGGTGCTATATTAGAACAGAGCTATTCTTAAAAGTTTCCCTCTGGATAACTGTAATGAGATAGAGGTTTCCCCCAAAGTACTGAAGGTATCTCCTTTCCAACATATTCTTCTTCATGCTCTTGGCAAGTTATCAGCTGCTGCTTATGCTGCTCCATAACACAGCACACCACTGGCAGCTGGTGACAACCCTGGTGAGAAGGTCAATGCACTGAGGGAACAGGGCCCACGGAAGGTGTCTGGCTCAAGAGCCCTCCAAACCTGCAGCCAACCTTGGCTTGCAGGGCTTATCTGGTGGAAGTCTCTTACCTATCATAGCTCTGGTATTTAAAGTTTACTCTTGTGTATTTCACACTTGGACCATAAGGAAGGCTGAGCACTGAAGAACTGAGGCCTTTGAATTGTGGTGGTGGAGGAAACTCCTGCTGGTCAATCTTAACGGAAATCAACCCTGACTGCTCTTTAGAAAGCCAGATACTGAAGCTGAAACTCAAATACTTTGGCCACCTAATGAGAAGGAAGGACTCCCTGGAGAAGAGCCTAATGCTGGGAACAATAGATGGCAAAAGAAGAAGGGGACAGCAGAGGATGAGGTGGCCAGATGGAGCCACTGGGGCAGTGTGTGTGGGTTTGGGTGGACTCCAAGGGATGGCGGAGGACAGGAAGGCCTGGAGGAATGTTGTCCATGGGGTTGCGATGGGTCAGACGTGACTTTGCGACTAAACAAACGAGTATTGCTTTCTCCAGTTAATGTTCACAACAAACACCACACATGCATAGACCTCATTCTGTTCCTGTTTCACAGACTGAGTGTGTGCATGTGTTTAAAAGGACCCTGGGGCCAGCGCTACCATTAGACAAAGTGAAGCAGCAGACTGGTCAGAAGGGGCAGCAGACCCTGGCAGTTCCTCTCTGCTGAGGACAAAGCTGTGCTTTCCGCACTGCTTGGCCTGCCTTCCCCCACCTCACAAGCTAGCCCGCTGCCCTCAGGTGAGGTGGGGGATGCTGCTTTGTGGCCAGTGTTCCAGTAAAATGCAAATTCCAGAGCTGTTGGCTTCTGCAGAGGAAATAGAAAGGGGGCATCTTGTCCTTTGCCTCAGACAGCAAGATGTCTTGGGCTGACACTGGAGCAGGTTCCTTCTGTATACCTCCAGGACTTGTTGCATCTGAAGGAGCGCTTCCTGCCTTGCATCTCCCTTCATTCTTCCATCAAGCGCACCTCCTGTGGGTTATGGTAGGGCCATAGGAGGAAAGAAACGCTATTGGGGGAGAAATGCTCTACCTGAATGTGGG